TATGGGCTTTTCTATGGGGCTCATCACTCTAGTATCTGAATGCTTCACAAACATGAATGAATTTATTTTCACAACATCCTTGTGAGATGAGATGGTTGTGGCCCAGGGATGCCCTTGATGACAACAGGCAGAGGACACAGGGGGTGCCTAGGGTTTTACAGGGAGCCCTTGAGTCAGATATATGCATACCCAGGGTGGCACTTGAGGTCTTTACTCAGAGCTCATAGCCCACCAGTCATCATCATCATTGCAAAGTGTATGTATGGATAATATTTCAGGAGATATGTATTTATACTAAAAATTCTGTTCTTAAAGTCCTGGCTTTTGAGAGATTGTGAAATCTAAAAGAAAGGAAATCTACAGGAATTAAAAAACAGCTGGGGGAGGAGGGGAAGGTGTCCTGTTTATGAATAAAGGCAAAAGATTGTTCTAGTAACTCTTGGAGTACAAAGTGACACATGGAATCCTTCACCGAGGAGGCAAACTGACTGTGTGCTTGTCTCGTAAAAAGAGGGTCACGAGTAGCCTGGCTGTAAAGCTCTGCAAAGATTTTGGGTGAGCAATACTCTACTAGACATGAGAGTACCCTTTAATTAGGTCTAGGCTCTAGAATGTGTGTTATGATTTTATTTTATATGTAACCGTTTGTTTCCGGTGCTTCTACTTGAATCTGCTTTGTTAAATAAACTTTGATTTGATTATAGTGAAATTAAGTATATGTGCTCTGAGGTAAGTGGAGCAGTGATCTGAGTTGCCCTGATTCTTTGGAGGCAGCAAATCTGTGAATACTGCAAGTATCTAGTGGACCAGGGGCTGGACACTCCAGGGAGATGCTCAGAGGGCTCAAACTAATCTATAGAGTGACATCAGGGCCTGTGGAGGACTGCAGTGCTTGGGTTGCCTATGGCCAGTGGAGTCAGGGTGCAGACCCACTGCAGGCACAGACAATGCTTCTCCACACTAAGGGCAGTTGGTAGCGAGGTGCCTCACAGCTTGGGTACCCCCGGGAAGTGTCACAATGATATATCCATATTTTACAACTGGGGGAATTGAGGCACAGAGACTGAGGTCAAAAGTATCCGCTAATTTTAAGTGCCCATTTTGAGACACCTAGGATCATTATATAGCATGTCATATGTTCAAAGCACAGCTCCAGTTAGGTTCACTTACAGCTGTGAGTGCTCAGCATTTCTGCAAATCATACCCTATGGGCTCAAGCCAGACATCCAGAAAATGAGGAACATGCAGTTAGGGACCTTCTGTAAAAAGTTGCCTATCATCACCTAGGAACTCTGTGGTTCAGGCAGGAATAGAATCCAATTCTCCAGGATAGCAATGAATTGCATTTTCCATGAGACCATCCATTCTGTACCGGCAATCCCCTGCCTCATTCATTATACCCCTTCCAACTTCTATAACGAATGAGGAAAGGGTCCGTCAGACAAGCCTCCCACACTACACAATGCTGATTCATCCCAGAGCAGATCATTCATGGGCCCGGAACGGAAGAAGGGTCTCGTGTTTCCAGCATTATACATTATGAATCATTAATTTCTGCACTTGGATAAAACTAGCTAAATAAAAACATGTTACCCTGGCGGCGGAACATAGAAAGAGCAATTGTTCAGAAAGCACACTTTGTATAGTGACAGCTGGCTTTATTTTCCTGTCAAGGAGTAAACACAACCTCCAATCTTCCTACTGCTTTATACTCTGCCTTTTAAGGGGAAAGCAGCTTCAGAGACTAGAAGGTCATGTATACTAGAGATATTAATGTCACATTTTTTTTCCTCCTTGTTCATGTCATCCTACCATTGCCTCTCTGAAAAGTAAACTATCGCTGTCATCTTTGCCGCTTGTGAGATGTTAGGTGATAATTTTAGACCACTAGTGTTAATGTCACAATTAAATTAAGCACCTAGAACTTAATTAAGTAATTACCTTCATGTATGATCAAATATATAGATTTCGGCAAAATTACTCCAATTCAAGGCTTAAAGTTTTGGCAGAGCTTGGGAAATTTTCTGTGAAACAAATTCCATTGATTTACTGCATGATGGATTGAGATATTAAGATTAGTCCGCCTCAGTTTTTCCCTTTTGCTTCTATTTTCACTTATCTAGATAACAAATAAAAAAAGAGTGCTAGGAAAAACCATCAGATTCTGAAAATGATAGCAGGGTATTTTTCTTTAGCACTAATGCATATTTGTCTGAAGTCAATAAAGAGTATTTCAGTGATGTTTCTTTTCATGCACTAACCTGGACTTGTTTTACAGATTATTTAATGTCAGTGGCCAGTCTCCTCTTGAGGTGCAGGAGAAGGTTAATTATTACATAACTAGTTCAAAAAATACCATGTTAACAAAGTGCTGAAAGATTTCTTATTGGCAATATGCTATCAAATGCATGTCTTCCTCTTTAAGGTCTCAGTCTTGCAAGGATGTGCTTGGGCAGGCATCCTCTGGCCTCTGTCAGCCTACGTACTATATGCTCTTTATCATAAATTTTAATGAATGGGGGGCAGATACTCAGCCACTGGAAATCAATGGAACAATGCTGAGTTACACCAGCTGAGGATCTGACCCATGGGCTATGTTTGTGGGTAAAAAAAACCCCACAACTGATTTTTTTCAGTCACATTCTTGCTATAAACTCAAATGTCAAAAGGTTCATTTCCCCCCCAAGATCTATTGTTTGAGTGGGGAGGTAATGGCACCCAGGCCCTGAGAATTACTTTCCTGCGACTTGCATGGGGGGGGAGGGGTTAGAGGTAGAGAGGATTGCTCAGATATTTGGGGGAGGGGTGTAGAAGCAGCTGACTCTACAGATCAGTGACATGCTGACTCTTAGGACCTTAACAAGAGAGTAACAGAGTAAAGCCTGATTCTGAGAGAGAGCTGGATAATGCCTTGAGAAGGAAAGCCCTAAGAGACCAGGGTGTGTGACACTCCCTCTGTTTAACACAGTGGTGCGTATACAGTGATAGGCTAGCTGACAAATGTTGCATACATTTTATTTTCTGTAAGTATACAGCCATGAAAAACTTGCACAAGTCAAAGGCGCTAGAAACTGGTACAGGACATCAGTTACAACTGGTTTCTCTTTCCATTCATGTTATTTTCATTTAAAAAACAGTCTTCTCTCTCCTTTTACTGTTAGCTGCTGAGTGTTTCATGTAGAACGGGGCACCTTTGGATAGTAATACACTGATAATGACCAGCTGATTTCCACACCATGAACACATAGGTAAACATCACCGTCCGCGATACGGCTTCTGGAGGCTCTGGAGTTTCCTTGCTTGGTATCATACATCTGTCCTGCTATTTTAAAGCAGATAGTTTGTGTGTACACGATTCCAAAGAGGTAATGTATACAGCATTTTAGAAGAGAACATATATAGTCCCTCGGTCTCTGAACTGAGAACAGCTATACAATTGCATTACAGAGCAAGAGAGCAATGCTAAATTCTAGAGGTAAGTTGCAGGATTTTTTAGTTTTATGTGATGTGATGCAGAGATACTCTGGTAAATAAGATTCTAAACCAAATACAAATTGGCTTGTAAACATTACTGTTCTAAATGAGCTTGTACAGTACTTTCAATGCACTAAGAAATGATTTCCTGATTTTAATTCTCTGACCATAAGAACTTCCTAAATATTCTTTCATTTAACTAGATTTCCTTAAAAAAATTCCCGGCAAAATTTGCTGAACTGTCAGCCAGAAGTCCAAAGTCATCCTTTGTTTGTTTGTTTATGTATTTTAAAAAGTACAGTTTCTTCCATCAGTGTGCCTCAACCCTGCCTTACAGAAAGCATCTATCAGGGTAATAGGCCAGTTCCATTTTTCCATGTCCATCCAACCTCTGGCATCTCTGATGATAATTTGGGTGATGGCGCTTGTGATGCAGACACTTATTCACTTGGAAATGGACTGAGACCAAACCATATATCACACAGGCCAATGAAGAGACATTACCAGGTGTAAGGTCGTGTACTAACCACATGTAGCGCTCCCTTGTGTCAGAGTGCAACACTGCAAGGGAGCCTCATCCCCAGCACCTCTGCTTGGCCCTCTGTATTGGTCCTCTCCTCACCAGGTCTTCCATGGCTTGGCCCTCCGGCCAAGTCACCTAAGTTCAGTCCCCTTCAGGGGTAATGAAAGGTCCAAGCTAAACACCCAAATAATAATCCTTCTATCCCTCTAAGGCTGCACTGAAGCATCCTCACAGGCCTTCCCTCTGAGGTGCCCTCACAAGAGCTTAATCTGCCTCTGCAGTGGGGCTTGCGTGCCCCGTCCTCAAGGCTGGTAGGTAAACTGAGGCCCACCCAGGGGACCGTAATAAGTGGTTGGCTTTGCTGCTTCAGATATGCTGCTGTTTCCCTGTGCCACTTCCTATCTCTAAATCCCCCTTGGTGTGCTATCCTACAGCCTCTGCTTAACCCGGCCTCCGTTTGGCGCTCAGGCTTCTGGCTTCTCCCTTCTCTGCTGAAGATTAGTAAGTCTTCCGCAGGGACTTTGGCAGCTTCCCCTAGGGATCTCCCTGCTCCTTGTAGCTGTAGCTTAGGGCTTTCCCCGATGAGCCGGTGCTGCTCCCTGTGAGTTCTGCCTACCTGCAGGAGAGTCTTGCCTTCTCTGCAACCTCTCCCTCCCTGGCTGTACAGTCTTCTCCTAACCCTTTCACGGCTGGGGTCAGGAATTAGCATTAAGTTACTATATCACCATCAGCGGAGGATGGCTGCTAGGTCATAGGCAAGGTTGAGCTTGGCTTGCCTTAAAGAGCCAGCCACCTGTGACCCATGGTAACAGCTTTCTGTTACTGCTAAATTGGGCTGGATTTAGCGCCATAATGGTGAAATTGTCTCTTCACCAATCCCATGTTCACTACAAGACATTTTTAACACTGAGACTCAATGTACTTAGATAATGGTTTCAGTGTTTTGGTTCTAGCTCAACAACAGGCAACACACACACAAACCTCCTAGGAAAAAGGACCGGACTGGACAGCATTACCGACGGATAACAATACACACAGAGTTCTTTGCTAGCCGCCAGTTCAAAATCAGTCTGACAATTAAAAGGGTTTTTTCCCCCTTCTCAAGGGCTTTGCTGTCTGTCTTCTCTTTGGAGGCTGTATAGATATACTACCAGTCTGCATTAAAGAGATAACTCTTGCTGATAGGAATGCATTGGGTTCTCTGCACAAACAGCACGCACATTGGTGTGTGCACTCTAGTGAAGTAGTCAAGGATTCCTGTCTCTCTTCATCACACCCGTCAGCTTTCACCAAATCCACCTGCAATCCTGGCGCATACTCCACGTGCTCCCATTTTATTGCATCATTCAACTCACAGCTACTATAGGTTCAACTGAAGTGATGTCTGTCTTCCCTGACTGGAGATTGGAGGTTGATGGAAGGACATGGGAGACCTGAGACCTCTTGAAGTTGCTGTTTTCTGGCCAGGCTACTCTGTAGGATGGAACTGTGGATGGAAGCCTGTGCTCTTTCGGGCTAGGTGGTTTTTTGCACATGTTGAGCAAAGACTTCAGTTCCAGTCTGAAATGTTCATTGAGCCAGCAGTAAATGAAGGGGTTATAACAGGTGCTGCTCATTGCAAACCAGTGAAAAGCAAAGTACAGGGCATTGTTGGTACGAATAGTTTGGCTGGAAAGGAGGACGACGTAGCAGTTCAAAGGAAACCAGCAAACAGCAAAGAGGATAACCACTACCATCAGCATCTTAATGGTCTTTTTGTTCTTCCTCCGAAGGGCGAAGTACTGCTCCGTGGTCACATCCCCAATGGCATTGCGCAGCCAGAGTTTCTTGGCCACTCTCAGGTAGGCAGCAGAGATGATTAAAAGGGGCAGAACGTAGAGCAAAATGAACGTTGTTAAGTCTAGATACTTCCAGAAGAGGTCAGCTGGTTCAGGGAAATCTGGGAGACACAGGCATCGGGTGACGTCTTCACTGCAGATAAAAGGACTGATCACAATGAATGAACAAACATGCCTGGGTATCACAGTAAGGGAGAGAAAGACAAGACTCCTGTCATACAACCAAAGAGCCAGATCCTCAACTGATGCAAATTCACATCATTCCATTGACTTCAGCAGAGCTATGCTAATTTACACCAATTGGGGAAGTGGTGCATAGCGTAGCTTACAAGAAATGTGATCAGAATAATTTCTCACCGCATGCATGAGATTATGATCTTCTTACGAAACTAATTAATTGCAACCTCTAATTACCAGCTGCACAAAATTAAGTTCTTAGGAGTGAAGCGAAACTCTCTCTGCCTTTCAATGAACTTCTGTATGTAAACGGTAATAAAAAAATTTATCACCTTTATGACCCGTTCCATCAGCAAAACACTTCACAAACATTACTTAACCCTCACAACAGAGGGTGACAGGTAGGTATTATTATCTTTATTCTACAGAAGAGGAACTAAGACAGAGAGGTTGAGTCACTTGCCCAGGGAGTCAGTGTTAGAGCTGGGGTTAGATAAGAACCAATTAGGGCCTCGTTTCCAGTCCTGGCCTCAATCAATGGGCTAGATCTCTAGCTGGTGTAAACTGCCAATTTATGCCAACTACGTATCTGGCCTGATGCATCTGACACGCTGTGTTGTTGATGAATAATACCAGAAGAGTAGCCATTGTGAAAGGTATCGATGTGCACTATGGACCAGATCCTCAGCTGGTGTAAATTGACATGGCTTCCTTGTCTTCAGTGAGGCTACACTTGCGTGTCCCTGCTGGGGATCTGGCCCCATATTTTTCTGCAGAACAAAAGCAGGGATCAGCCTTACCTGTATTCAAAAGTGAATAGTTTTTGATAAATAGCATGTGGGAGAGAGAAACACGTTGCCATAATCCAGATGACAGAGATGTAGACAATGCCTTTTGCAGTGGATATGCGAGGTTTCAGAGGATGCATTATAACCTGTTTGGAATAAACAAACATGTGGCCTGATGACATTTTAATAATTATGCAATTTTCCTCACATTATCTCCCACTCTTAAATACAGCAGTAATCACGGCAATTTAATGAGCAAACGCTGCATGGGAGATGTCTGCATTCAACTTCTATTGACTTCAGGTTACAGAACCAGAAAGTGAACTTGACTCTGAATGAAAGCTGAAGTAATTATCTTTCACAGTCCAAGCTGAGAGAAATGGATAAAGTAAGGCCCTGATCCTGCTACTGCAGCTGCGAAGGTGAACTTCTGCACCCACATGGAGATGGGTTGACTTCAGTGGGCTCCTGGGCAGGCACAAAGTTCTGCCCTTGCACATCAGTTTGTAGGTTGGGCCTAATTCAACAATATAAAAAAAGACAGGGATGGAGGCTTTTAAAATGCTTTCAATGTTTGTATTCGACAGCATCAGTGACACAAAGAAAGGTGGGTTTCCAGTATCATTACAGCCAAATGGTTTTCTGACAAAAAATGCATTTTCTGAAATTTCCTGTTGGGAAAGTTGAAATGAAAGCGCCCAAGATCCCAGGTTCCCCACTCCCAGGCTGGTGGCTCCCCAGCACCCTGCCCCAGGATCCCAGGGCTTCCAAGCTGGCCAACTCCTTGGCTCCTCAGCAGCCCCTCTGGTATGGAGCTTGCGACCAGGCTCCCTGCTCGCCCAGGCTCCAGGGGCTTTTAGCGTGCTAGGCAGGCTGCTGTGGCATCTGGATTGGACATTATTGAAAAATTCCATGTGGGTGATTCTGCAATGGAATGGATGGAGAACGCTCCTCTCCCAGCACATTTTGCATATCCTGCCTTGTGTGCCAGTTCCGAACACACATTTTTTTGGAAATGCAAAATTTTCCCTGGGATAGAAATTCCGGGTCCTGCCCAGAGCTAAATATACTATTTAAATTAGTGTCCCCTGTAAATCGTTTATTTGACAGCTCTGCTTCTTGTGTGAATTTAGCATATTAAGTTAAGGTCTGAAGATGCAGCATGTACCTGCATTTAGAATAATACATAATATTTTGTAAAGTGCTTTGAGATCCTTGGCTGAAGGAGTACAAGCAGTTCATTCAGCTTCACACTCCCTTTCTGAGGCAGATATTACTACCAACGTATTAGAGATGCAGAGAGGTTTGTGCAAAAGCCAATGGCTGACCCGGGAACAGAACCCAGGACTCCAGACTGCCAGCGCACCCCCTAGCCCAGTGGTTTTGTACTGGTGACCCCTTTCACACAGCAAGCCTCTGAGTGCGACTCCCCCCCTTATAAATTAAAAACACTTTTTATATATTTAACACCATTATAAATACTGGAGGCAATGTGGGGTTTGGAGTGGAGGCTGACAGCTCGCGATCCCTCCTGGAATAACCTTGCGACCCCCTGAAGGGTCCCGACCCCCGCTTTGAGAACCCTTGCTCTAGCCCCTAAATTGTACTTATTCCTCCTCCTTAAGTGATACCAGAGAGCTGATCAGAAAAAATATACACCACCACCTTGGCAATTCTTACACAGAGAGCCCTGTGCTAAACTCCTTAGGGTCTGAGGTGTTCAGAAAATGGATTTTAATTTCTTATTTTAAAATAAAGGAATGCTCCAGCATTTTCAATTCATGGCCATTTAGCTTAAGAGAACTCTCACCTGGTGTCTGTCCACTGCGATTGCTGTGAGAGTCAAAGCAGAGACATGGAGGGAGCAGTATTGTGCAAATCTACTGATGTGACACATCCCCTTCCCGAATATCCATGTGCTGTTCACAAACCGAGCCTAGGAACAGTCCAGCAGGGAATATATTTAGCTTTCTACATGCATCATTTGGGTACTTTTCACATGCCTGACATTCGACTCATTGTGCCATTGTCAGCACACTATTAGCTGCTCTTGTGGTCATTATTTGGCTTCCATCCCAAAAGGATTATTAAAAATCTACAGGTCACAAACAGGCTAACACATCACTCCTTTCTTTTATCTAATCTCTGTCTCCTTGATTTATTGGCTGATTACTGAAGCCTGCAATAGGACATTAAATAGAGTCAAGACTTTTGGGGAGGTGATCCAGAAATACAGTTATGTTAGTTTTCAGAGTAGCAGCTGTGTTAGTCTGTATCCGCAAAAAGAACAGGAGTACTTGTGGCACCTTAGAGACTAACAAATTTATTAGAGCATAAGCTTTCGTGGGCTACAACCCACTTCTTCGGATGCATGCCACTTTACTGTCCAGGCAATATGCACCAGCTAGTACGGTGGAGCAACTTCTAATGCATTTGTTTGACTTCCTTCAGAATATTTTCCTCCTTACCCAAAGAACTGCCAACAAGTCAGTTCCCCTCACCCAACCATCCCTGCTGGATACATGGATACTCCTGCATTCCTGATCTGGATACAATGCAAGTATCTCTTTTCACCAGATCATGTAACATGATGCTGATCATTAACCATTTTTTTTAAATAAGGGAGATTCATGGTATTACATTGGAAGCTCCTCAGGGGAGGGAAAATAACTAAATACTAAAATTGTGAAACTACAACCCTATTATGCTTACTAGTTTAGTGCCAACAATGTCCTTGGGCATAAACCATAGGTGCAATTTTAATTATTATTACATTTCTAACTGGATCATAGAAATTAGAAAAGGAAAAGACCTGTTAAATCTTCCAAAAAGCAATGACTCCACCCCTACAGACATTTAAAACTAGTCTGGAAAGATTACTAGCAAGTGTTTCATAGAACTATCTTGCATTAGCAGAGGATAAACTGAGAATATAACTCCATATAACAGGATAAAGAAAAAAAGTCATTAAATTAACTCTAATGCTTTAACATGACTGGAAGTTCAAATTGCAGCCTCGCATTTACTACTGTGTCATTTGTCATTCCAGTGAGTGCAAGTAACAACAATCAGAGGCAAACTCCACACACTAAGCTATTTCTGTTAAGTGAAGAAAAGGCAAATGATACATTTTCCATTACAGATGCTCATAATATACAGAAAAGAAGCAGAGCGAGAGGGAACAGACTTCTGTCAGGTTCTTACCAAAGTAAAGGGAGTATTGAGCAGCGTTATCATTATGTCTGCTACAGCTAGATTCACAATAAACAGGCTGGTCGCGGAGTGCATCCTTTTGTTTTTGATGATGACGTGACAGACCAGGACATTCCCAAAGAGCGAGAACACTATGATGAAGGAGTATGCCACAATGAGCAGGGCTTTCACTGTAAGATTTTGAGACTCTGCCCCATATCTTCTCCTGCCCACAAAGCTCTGCCAGTCAGCAAGTGTGTAGTTATTCCAGGAAAAAAAACTGGAGATGTTGGGTATTTCAAAAGATCCTTCAAAACTTCTGTTGATGGGAAGCTTTGCTGATCTCTCAAAGGCATTAGCTAAGTATGGGAGAGAGAGCCATATATAATGAGTAACCATTTCTGAAACGCTGCTTCTTTCCTCAGATTCAGAAATAGCTCATCTATGAAACAATACTGTGTGTCCAGTCAATGGGAGGCTTGACGAGCTGTCGTTTGCTTTCCGTAGCACAATCTGTGAACAAAATGCAGAAATTATCAGCCAAATCAACAGCAGGTGATCCTGACCAGTGCTGTGGCTACGCAGATCTGACACTCAGTCAGTGTAGACTTCTCTTTCAGCACTTTTATATCTCCCGTCTCAGGCAGGCTGCTAGCAAGAATCTCCACCCATTGGATGCTTAATATTACTGCTACTCCGATGTGCTCACTTTGTCCAAGATTGCACTCCTACTGGGTTTTACTCCATGCCTCCCACTTCTCCTCAGAGATAATTACATCTGTACTATATAAGAAAAAGAAAATCTATCTGGTTTCACCTGAGCTGTCAGCATCCTGACCTGCAGCAGCAGCTTCTTGTAAATTCTGTTCTGTTTATAAACCAACACAATGTCTGGTAGCTGTGCTGCATTCTAAGAGAGATTCCAATTTAAAAATACAATTTTAAATGTATTTGGGGCTCATTTCAGCCTTGTTTACAGCACCACTACATTGACTAGAGCTAGTAGTAATGAGGTACAGAATAGAAAATGAATAACAGAGTTAGACTAGTTCACTCTATTCAAATGTTTTCCCCCTCCTTGTAAGCTAAAAGGTTATGTGGCTTATAACTGGCTATTGTTCAGCCTCTCATTAAAAATACCCAAACAGTCTATGTATTAAAGGTCACTTTTTATTATGTTAGTGTTTTTCTAGAGATGTTTTTCTCGCAGGCAAATCAAAGCTAATCTTCCTATCGGCAGCTATTTTCCCCTCCTGGCCAATAGAATAAAAAGAAAATGTTTTTAAAAGCTAGATCTTACATTGTGTATTTCGTATTTTATACATACACGGTATGTCATGCATGTCTAGCTGCTGGGAGAATTGATGTGCATCTTCATATCATAGCGCCAGTGGGTGTGTGTTGCCTTATACATTAAAAATGCATACACTTGGACTCAGATTGAGATGGAACTAGGAGACAGACTTGTTGAAAGTCTCTGGGTAAGGATAAAAGGGGTAAAAAACAAGGGTGATGTCATGGTAGGGGTCTACTACAGACCACCTAACCAGGAAGAAGAGATGGATGAGGCTTCTTTTAAACAGCTAACAAAATCATCCAAAGCACAGGACCTGGTGATGATGGGGGACTTCAACTACCAAGACATCTGTTGGGAAGATAACACAGCAGGGCACAGATTATCCAATAAGTTCTTGGAATGTATTGGAGACCATTTTTTATTTCAGAAGGTGGAGACAGCTACCGGGGAGAGGCTGTTCTAGATTTGATTTTGACAAATAAGGAGGAACTGGTTGAGAATTTGAAAGTGGAAGGCAGCTTGGGTGAAAGTGATCATGAAATGATAGAGTTCCTGATTCTAAGGAATGGTAGGAGAGAGAACAGCAAAATAAAGACAATGGATTTCAAGAAGGCAGACCTTAGCAAACTCAGGGAGTTGGTAGGTAAGATCCCAGGGGAAGCAAGTCTAAGGGAGAAAACAGTTCAAGAGAGTTGGCAGTTTTTCAAAGAGACATTATTAAGGGCACAAGAGAAAACTATCCCACTGTGTAGGAAAGATAGGAAGTATGGCAAGAGACCATCTTGGCTTAACCAGGAGATCTTCAATGATCTAAAAATCAAAAAAAGAGTCCTACAAAAAGTGAAAACTAGGTCAAATTACAAAGGATGAATATAAACAAATAACACAAGTATGTAGGGACAAAATTAGAAAGGCCAAGGCACAAAATGAGATCAAACTAGTTAGAGACCTAAAGAGTAACAAGAAAACATTCTACAAATGCATTAGAAGCAAGAGGAAGACCAAGGACAGGGTAAGCCCATTACTCAATGAGGGAGGAAAAAACAAAGCAGAAAATGTGGAAATGGCAGAGGTGCTTAATCACTTCTTTGTTTCACTTTTCACCAAGAAGGTTGGTGGTGATTGGACGTCTAACATAGTGAATACCAGTGAAAATGAGGTTGGATCAGATGAGGCTAAAATAGGGAAAGAACAAGTTAAAAATTACTTGGACAAATCAGATGTCTTCAAGTCATCAGGGACTGATGAACTGCATCCTAGAATACTCAAGGAGCTGGCTGAGGAGATATCTGAGCCATTAGCGATTATCTTTGAAAAGTCATGGAAGACGGGAGAGATTCCAGAAGACTGGAAAAGGGCAAATATAGTGCCCATCTATAAAAAGGGAAATAAGGACAACCCAGGGAATTACAGACCAGTCAGCTTAATTTCTGTACCCGCAGCTTAACTTCAGTACCCAGAAAGATAATGGAGCAAATAATTAAGCAATCAATTTGCAAACATCTAGAAGATAATAAGGTGATAAGTAGCAGTGAGCATGGATTTGTCAAAAACAAATCACGTCAAACCAACCTGACAGCTTCTTTGACAGGGTAACAAGCCTTGTGGATAGGGGAAAAGCGGTAGACGTGGTATATCTTGATTTTAGTAAAGTTTTTGATACTGTCCCGCATGACCTTCTCATAAATAAACTAGGGAAATGCAATCTAGATGGAGCTACAATAAGGTGGGTGCAAAACTGGTTGGAAAATGGTTCCCAGAGAGTAGTTACAGTGGTTCAGAGTCACGCTGGAAGGGCATTATGACTGGGGTCCTGCAGGGATCAGTTCTGGGTCCAGATCTGTTCAATATCTTCATCAAAGATTTAGATAATGGCATAGAGAGTACACTTATAAAGTTTGCGGACGATACCAAGCTGGTAGGGGTTCCAAGTGCTTTGGAGGATAGGATTAAAATTCAAAATGATCTGGACAAACTGGAGAAATGGTCTGAAGTAAATAGAATGAAATTCAATAAGGACAAATGCAAAGTACTCCACTTAGGAAGTAAAAATCAGTTACACACATACAAAATGGGAAATGACTGCCTAGGAAGGAGTACTGCAAAAAGGGATCTGGGGGTCGTAGTGGACCACAAGCTAAATATGAGTCAACAGTGTAACGCTGTTACAAAAAAAGGCGAACATAATTCTGGGATGTATTAGCAGGAGTGTTGTAAGCAAGACACGAGAAGTAATTCTTCTGCTCTACTCTGCTCTATTAGGCCTCAACTGAAGTATTGTGTCCAGTTCTGGGTGTCACATTTCAGAAAGAATGTAGACAAATTGGAGAGAGTCCAGAGAAGAGCAACAAAAATGATTAAGGGTCTAGAAAACATGACCTATGACAGAAGATTGAAAAAACTGGGTTTGTTTAGTCTGGAAAAGAGAAGACTGAGAGGGGACATGATAACAGTTTTCAAGAATGTAAAAGGTTGTTACAAGGGGAGGAAGAAAAATTGTTTCTTAGCCTCTGAGGATAGAACAAGAAGCAATGAGCTTAAATTGCAGCAAGGGAGGTTTAGGTTGGACATTAGGAAAAACTTACTAACTGTCAGGGTGGTTAAGCACTGGAATAGATTGCCTAGGGAGGTTGTGGAATCTCCATGATTGTTTTAAGAGCAGGTTAGACAAACACCTGTCAGGAATGGTCTAGATAATTAGTCCTGCCACAAGTGCAGGGGACTGGACTAGATGACCTCTCGAGCTCCCTTTCAGTTCTATGATCTATGATTTTATGTGTGCGTAATATACATATTAAATGAGGTACTCCCCACCCTGAGGGCTATATTCTTCCTATTAGTCCATCGCACTTGACTTAAAGGTTAATGTCTGTGTTTGTCCATTGTGCCAATCTCTGCTGGGGAAGACCCAGTACAAACAAGAAATGCTGGTGTAATATAATATTATTTATATTACAGTAGTTGCTATGGGCCCCAATCAGGATTGGGTCTCAATATGCTAGACCAGGGGTAGGCAACCTACGGCACGCGTGCCAAAGGCAGCACGCGAGCTGATTTTCAGTGGCACTCACACTGCCCGGGTCCTGGCCACCAGTACAGAGGGCTCTGCATTTTAATTTAATTTTAAATGAAGCTTCTTAAACATTTTAAAAACCTTATTTACTTTACATATAACAATAGTTTAGTTATATATTATAGACTTATAGAAAGAGACCTTCTAAAAACGTTAAAATGTATTAGTGGCACACAAAACCTTAAATTAGAGTGAATACATGAAGACTCGGCACACCACTTCTGAAAGGTTGCCAACCCCTGTGCTAGACCTTATACAAACATTTATTAGAAGCTTTTGTAAACTTTTTGGGGTAATTTAGGTTAATAGCCTCATTAGTGCCTCTGAAGAAGTGGGTTTTTTACCCACGAAAGCTTATGCCCAAATAAATCTGTTAGTCTTTAAGGTGCCCCTGGACTCCTCGTTGTATTAGTGCATCTAGTTCTCCCACCATCATCCCACAGTGCACTAGGTACTCCTAAGGTGAACTATCCGGTCCACTTTCTGCACTCTGCTTCAGAGGGCATTAGTGTGCCAGAAGCCACTTATCTGTATAGATCAGTGGTTCTCAACCTATTTACCATTGTGGGCTGCATCCAATACTACTTGTATGGCCCTGAGGATGTCACATGGGCCGCAGCTTGTGCTGACTGGGCTGCAAGTGGCGTGCGGGCTGCAGGTTGAGAACCACTGGTATAGATAGTGCTAGACTCTCTATGGAGCTCATTTGCATGCTACTTTGCCTGTTTTAATTTCTTCTACAGATGACAGAAGTGATTAACTCCTTTAGCAGCAAGCATGTCTCAGAGGAAGCTTTCTAATGAATGTGATACCAGCTGGCCAGAGTGCAGTCCATGGTAACCATCTGGGGCAAAGAGAAAATCTAGTTGTAGCTGATTCAGAATGTTCTTGTCCATGACTGAGCATCCAAGCACTTTCTCAAGCCTGTTGTGATACCGTTACAAGCAACAAAATATCAAGGCCCTATAACTGAGATACCCTTCAAAATGCATTTAGAGGAAAATTTCTAATAAAGTTTTCTTTGTAATGATTCACAAACAAAAC